ATGGTGAAAACATACGAATATAATTGCACATTATATTAAAGAACGAACTGACTTATTTTGGCCAACATATCTGTCTGCTCAATGAGAAGAAAATGGAATTCAAAGCGTAGTGAGATCTAAAAGATGATCGTAATTAAGAAAAGTTCGCAGGATCGCGATTAACCAGAGATGCTAATTGACTCGGTCTTGAGAGGAAGAATCGCGCGTTGCGCCATGCGAAAATTAGAAAGGCACTTGCACTACCAATTGCGATCGCGCCTCCGTTCTCACTCGCGAGGAAACTGTGCACATTCATCTCATACATATGACGTGTCGCGACCGCGTCATCTCACAGTTCGCTTTCTTGTGTAAGCCACTTGTTTGCATTCCACAATTCCTTAATGACGGGAGCAAATCGAATTGAATAGCAGAACAATAATTATGAGAACATCAAGTCAGGTTTACAAGTCATAATAAATAAAGCATGTAATATTAAGGCTTTACTTTATTAATGCAGAGATAGTGCATTCTACGTTCGACGTGTAGCTCGTATCGAGATCCGTTCAACCACGACATGGCCAAGTGCATTAGTGGTTCGAATATTCAGAGACGGTTTTATCGAAAACAAAGCCTCAAGTAAAAAAACTTTTATTTCATATTTTTGACATGTTTTTTTCACACAGAATCACCTCATCCACGTTTGCACCATTAATACTAGGACATCCTGTATTTTAATGCATACACAAATTTTTTATTGTTTTGGATCTCCGTAAATTACCGTTTTGGTATCGCACTCTTTTACAGAAAGAAGATTGGATGTACTTTCTTCGGCCTCGATATCCTTACAGGAATCTCCGCTTACGTATCACTTTCGCAATCATTATTAGACGCTGTTGCGCAAGCGAGAGCGCTCTGTCCTATATGAAATATCGCCCGCATTCAATCTCAGACCGCGGATACGTTGTAATTAGCGTGCAAGACACTGCGTGGAAGCACAGCCTCTAACGTAACGTGAATACGCGATATCGCGGCTGGCAGGACACGGGTGTCTGTAAAAATCCAGATGCCATTTCAGATAGGTGCTGTACTAGCAGATTCGCCACGGCGTTCGCACCGTGAGTGCTGCAACTTTACGGCAACCTCACGACATACCAATCTTCGCCTTGGTCTGCCTCCAGTTATTCATCCGTTCCGTAGCTTTTACATCGTATTAACGCTCCTCCTATAATAAGTCATGGCGGACGCTTATCGGCTCCGGCCATAGAAACGAAAACAGTATTAACGATTTTACTATTTAAGCATTCACGATTCGACAGCTCGATAAATCTCGCGGTGTGATGCATAACGCGTAGACTAAAAGCGTAATTACACGACCGAGTGTATCGACAAATGATCTAATAATCTAATCGTTCGCTGAGAGCACAGATGCGCTAACAGATGGTCGTCAAAGGTTCCGCTCAATCATGCATTTCTTGTTGCCTCGGGCCAGTATAATTAACCAACTTATAAAATAACATTGTCGAGTTCTACCTACATTTCTCTTTATATCACAGTAAATCAGTTATACTCGACAAGGATGTCCCGTAATCTATACATCCTGTTCTCCTCCTTGTGCCCACTTTCACCCACCCTTTACGGAATCGTATCGACGCGACGTTCGATTCCTGGCCGCGTTGAACTTCCGTCGTTTTCAAAGGCCAGCCTCCATCGAGGTGCGCCTCACGTCTCGTTACGTCATTCATTGAACTCGGCGTCGTAAACGTTGATACATTTCACAGAAAACCGGTCAACTGTTGCTACGCAAAAAGTTCGTAGGTTATCTTCCAGTGTCGACCCGACGGCGAAACATTGTTCATCGAGAGCCCACATTACGCTCGCAGTGCTAACTTAATTAGCACGATTGCACCAGTGATAAATCTTCCTTTTTGCTCAATTTCTTTCTGACTTCTTTGAGAAAGCAATCGTCAACTTTAAATCAGTGCCAAACTCGGTCAGTATTAACAGGTGTTTGATAAATATTGTGATAAAAAATATATATATAAATTGTGATTCATTATATATATGTACAACAAAAAAGTTTCTCTTGCTGTGCAATTCATTCCCTTTCGTCTCATGGTTTACATGGTGCCACAGCATTTGGGACAATCCGTTTAAGCGAGCGCAACAATCTTACGAACAAAGAGACGCAAGTTTAAATATAGCTGGCAGCCGGGCTAAGTTTATCTTTATTGAGGTTTATGCCGGTTCGTGTCGACCTCGTTGCTTTACGAACTGCCTTTACTTGTGCCTCTCTCGAGCTATTTTTTTATTCTTAATAAATTATATCGATGGAGAAGTGTGAGGAATCGAGAGTTCGTTACTCCCGGACTCTCCTTTGTACATTTTCATTTTCGGCGCTGAGTAATAATACGTAAATCTTATACACGTGGTAAATATATGTTAAAATAAATGCGTTTATTCAGCAAACTACGCATACTGGTCGATGTATGCAAATAGTAAATCAAGAAACTTGATATTGCAGTTCTTTTAATTTATTTTAAGATAATAATGACTTTGTTATTATTTCTCAAAAAGCGTGCGAGCACGTATAATTCATGAACAATAAATACACATATATTTTCTGGTTTTGTAAAAAGTCCCACCGCTGATCTTAAACAGAGTCCCGCACACACGTATGCAAATAATGGGATGCATGGGATTATACGTAAAATAAGAGATACAAGGTGCGTAATGGCGAGCTATGTACGTTTGCACGAATGCAGATAAAACAGGATCGCGTGCTTCGGTAAGTCAGCACGTTTAAATCCGTTGAAGTCGTCGTTTGCCTGACTAACGATACGTTAGAGACTTCGCACAAATATCGTATCGTTCTGCGAGTCGCAAGACGCATCGCATAAAGAAGCGTTTCACGTACAGATGTATTATTCAAGCTTTTAGGGAACATCTCTCAACTTTAAAAACAGTTTGGCTTCGCGCGACAAGGAGATTAAGCTGACTTTGGTCAGACAAATTGACATACCCGTGGCATCCAACTTTGCGGCTGAACCATAGAATGATAGATAAAGTTAATATATGTAATTTCAGTACATAAACGCTTAAGTTAAAAAAGAAACGGTAGAAGAAACATAAAACATGACTTCATGTAGGTATAATTTGAGTTCGATCAAAGAAAATATGAGGAGAACAAGGAAAACATTAGCTGTTCAGAAATTTGTTTTATAAACGCACGTGTTAGCATCGACTTAGCTTAAAAAATAGTAAGAAAGGTTCAAATCATGGTGGTGTTGACGAAATGCGTTCACCGGTAAATCATTGACTCCTCAGTTGGTCACAAGCGGTGACATGTTTGGTAGGCCCCTATCAGGACGAGTCTATTAAATCTGCAACAGGACGGAATGTCTGCCAGAACCATTACCATTCCGCCAAGTCGTAAGTTATCTTCGCTGACAGTGGGTGCGCATAGAAATGTCTTCGGCCGTGATACCTCTTGACTTCTTCTTCTTCTGACTCTGTTTCTTGTTTTTCTTCCACTCCCTCCTTCTTCTCGTTCTGCTCGAGGCCGTCTTTGGCCGCAATGTCAGCCGCCGGCATCCGTATCAGTCTTTGCAATCAACATGGCCGTATCTTTTTCGGCGAAGCTTCGTTATAAATCTTATTGTAAAGCTGGTGATAACGTCTGGCTTTGTCCCGGAATTTTTCTACCGAAGGCACACTATCTAATTGCGGATACTCCAATCAGTTATCAAAAGTTTTGGTAATCTTCTGCATAATTTTATCACTCGAAGAAAAGCGAACGCATCCGTATTTCATGGTCCGCTCGATAACGTTTGCGAAGTATATAAACGTAGTGGACGTACATTGCTATTGCACCGAAGGTCACCACTTGGCATTCAACGATCCTGCCGAGCCTATCAAAGGTTCAGATTCGTAGAGGTATTCGACGGATCGTGGTGTAACCGATTCGTATAAAATTTGCATTGCATTCCAGGCAGCCCTTGCCAGTGCCAGTGCCAGTAATAGTGGCCGTGCATCGTAGGTAGATCTTTGAGGAGATCTCACTTCGGCACCTCCGCAAAACTTACAGACGCGGACGTAAAGAAGAGAAAACAAGAGAAGAAAAAGAGGACACGAGAAGAAGACGACAACGAGGACGAGAAGCAATGGTAGAGGAAAAGAAGAAAAACGAAGGAAGGAGGACGAGAAGAAGACCAGCAGCCCTTCGTTTCGTCTCTCTTTTCGAGTCCTTCCAATTCTCTCGTAACCATAAAGGTTTTGTTGCAGTCGGATCGCGCCGTTGAGTCGAACGGTAAATCAAGATGGTTGCTTTACGTAATGGAGTTGCACCGGCCACATCTTAATTAGGAAAAATCTGGAAGCACATCCGTTTCCAGCTCGCCGATCCTAGGTGGAGTTAAGACGCCCATTGCATTCTCTCATTAACCGTCTGCTTTTGAATGCATCCTATACGCTGCACGACGAATCGCTCGTTACACTATTTATCTTAGGCCTTCGTTTCGTAGAAAGCACGCGTGTGTTCGTAATAACACGACGACATGCGTGGTATCTATATAGAATCTATCAGACACCTTTTCAATATGAACACCTATAAATACGCTATTAAGCATCGGCTCATCTAAACCTTTCTTTTTATTCTGCCTATCATGGGAACGAAACGCGGAAGAGATACGCGTTTTATTATTAATTTCCTCTCGCCACTCTCCCGGTTCGAGTTCAAACACAATATTTTTTTATATTTTTCAAGATAACGAATAGTTAATACGTTCACGAGCCTCGTATCAGTATTAAATTCGCACGTGTAATCGCAATGAGGATATCCATGAACGGGACTAATTGAAATATCGCGATCGTACGTTGTTTAAATTATTCAAAATTCTCTTCGGGCTACTCGAGAATCGTGGCTGTTGGTTTTCACCCTACAGGGATATCAAGATGAATGTTGGTCCAAATTTACGTGAAATATCCAAGTACGTTTCTTAGCCAACTATTCGTGAAATATCGTAATGACTACTGAGACAAGCGGCGAGGCCCCGTGTCTCGAGAGACTTCATCAAGAGGTGCGTACAGACGTAAATGTTTATCATTTCACTTAACCTTTTCGCCGTTCGTCGCACTCCCGTGCAGGCTTTGAATTCGTTAGATACATTTCCCAACAAGATCATCGAACTAAATGATTTCGTCCACGAGTATATGCCAGACTCTGTTAGAAACAGCAAATATAATGACGTTACTCCTTCCGATCGGAAGGCCAAGTGTCAATCTACACTTTCCACTACAAAGAATTATGACCTGACCAGCATCTCCGATTTGGGCGGTAATTATTACAAGAACTTTGAACTTGCGCGTATGCTCCCGTAGTAGAGAGATAGATTTCGTTTTTATACCGGTTCCCTCTAGTTTCAAGTTACTACTCTCTATCGGTGTGTGATCACAGTCGATCGCGACACGGAATTTGCAAGAGAAGATACTATCGATCGCGTGGCATAACTGGTTGCAATATACGTCGAAGACCGGGACCGCTTGGACAACTTTTAGCATTTATAGTTAGCAGCTTGGCTACGTGCACGAAGAAAATGGTCATTGCTCCTTCTCAGTATATTGTGGATAACGTAATCTCGTCGTTGTTTCAAAGGTAGAACCAAAATAAGTAAGAGCGGAGAGAAATAGAAATGATATTCCGCGTGTTATATCCTTCGACGAAGGCGAGAACTGAAAAATGCCCAGTGCGGACCTTCGCCGAATTGGAACAGCTCCCTCTCCACTTACGTGACTACTGTAAAGAAAGATAATACGCGCATCGGGAAGCTCATCGATATCATGAGACCCGCTGTAGTGAAACTCATCAATGACACTACGACCGTAAGGATTCTCAAATTCAATGCTCTGTTTCCCTTCCTCCTCGACAAAACGAGTTCCTTTCGTTCAGTTGAAACGCTGGCTTCAAGCAGTCGCTTTAACCACCGCGTCGCCTCCGATCGAACTAACGAATGCAACTCGTAACACTGAAACCATCGACTGTTGGGCTTACGAGCTGTTCTTTCATCTCAAGTACCTTCAAGTGAATCGCGCACGACGGACCACCGACAAAGTAATCCTTAAAGCTAATTATGGCTCTTGCATACCTCTGACGAAGTCTCCATTAATTTCGCTTTCGAGTCAATGCGGCCGTAACAACAATTTTCAATTGCACTTTCAACCTTGTTAATGAATTTCCTCTATTTCGTTAGGTAATAGCCGATGCGGAGTCGAAACCTAGCGACGTGATTCATGCTAACTTATGGCATCGTTTAGTTCAACTTCGTGATAATTACATTATCCTGTACGAAATGTTACAGAACTACGATAAAATTCGTGATCTCGAGTCATAGAAACAGCAGAAGTAACGGGCGACGGTTAGTTATGCAACCGTTGAAAGTAAAACACATGCTACAATCTTAATGCATCCACTGATTTTCATCGAATAAGCGATTTATACGTCGCCTGGCCCGTATGGTTCTCCAAGGAATATTGGTACAAACTATACGTATATAGCAGGTTTAATTCGAATAGAAGGTCCGTCGGTCGAACCTCTCGCCCATTTGTTTCGACACGATCGAGCTGACACGGCACGCTATTGTGGCTAACATTTAAGCTTCGTGCAGAGGAAGGGAACGTAGACAGGCTACGGGATTTTTACTTCGACGAGATTGCACCACCCGACCTGCAATAGCCACTCGTTCCATCGACTTTTTTTTCATCGAGCAATAGAACAACTAGATAGAACGTCGTGCACTTTTTTACGGCGAACCAATGCTATCGAATATTAATATCGCTGCGGTCCAACACGCTACAATGGTGTATGATTCCGATTGTTTGAATTTTATTGTAATCGATACTGCAACAGACACTTTACTATTCGAAAACAAAGTCTGTTTGTAACGTGCATGAGAACGTTTTAAAAAATCAACGTGTTGCGATCTGCCCGATGGAACGAGTTTGAAGAGCCAGTCTGGGGACGCGATAGAATTGTTAACCATTTACAGACTGTATACATATGCTGCACGCATCCGTGTATGTTTTAGGGCTCTTTGGTATCGTATGTGAATCATCGAACGCGAGTACCACTTGTCATTCAGGTCAGCACTACGCGGATTCTTCATATTACGAACTATTGTTCACCATTTCATATACCGCAGTTATCGTCACGCATAACGTGAAATGGAAGATAATTAACATTTTAAGGCCCAGATATTGAGATCACAAGTATTTCTTTATGAAAGTCTATAAATATTGTGTAAAGTATAATTTAATAACGTACAATTTGTATCGACTGTTGTTATAAAAATTCAACTTTGAATGTAGGATACAATATTGTAAATTATTCAATTGATTAAATCAATTCCAAATGAACGCGATCGGACCTTAAAACGTTAATACCGAAAAATGTAAGGTTCGAACAGAAGAAAGATACTTCCTTTCCCACAATAAACGTGGCAGCAAATTTTTCCGTAGCTCGAGGGAGTGCCGGTGAACATCATGGTAACCGGTATAGTTGTACAGCTATGGAACGGTATCACAAAAGAGGTTGTTGTGTTGCCTTTAGATTTCACCGCGACAGAATAGATACAGTGGTTGAATCTAGAAACGACCGCATATATTGTTCTTCGATCCAAGTTGTAACGAGTTAAAACGCATTTATCTCGGACTGAACGAATTCAGTTTTTAAATCGGTTTTAATTGAAAGCATATCTGAGATATCGATCGGGCAATCGATGTCACGATGCAAAGCCGATCGCGACAAGAACGAATGACGGATACGACCGCTAAATCGACGCCATCAAGTTCGAACTCGAGCAACGATCGACTCGCGCGATCTACAAGCGCGTAAAGCGATTTAGTGACGGTGATAAATATAGCTGTCCACCGGAAACCGTCCAGATTCCCTTTGCGTGGCAGGGGAAAAGAGAAAACTCGAAGGAACTGATGTACATACATTCCATCTTCATAATCGTTCGTTGCTTCTGTAATCTGGCGAGGGATCAGTATGGATGATGTCATAAAGTAACGTTCATAGATGTTATTACGCCATTAATATCGAAAATGTTGACAGTGCTTCCCGCGGTATTAATTCCTATGACATTTATGCAGTTGTAAATCGAAATTATTTGTTATTCGTTAAAGAAGAGGAGGAAATTAGTTTTGTGAATACGCCACTTTCGTCTTTTTCTCTTCCAAAGCAGAATATTAGAGACTAGATGCACAGCGTACGTTAGTTAGGTATCATAGCCAGAATTTTTAGAGCAACGTGTGAATCTTCTCTTCACATCTCGTTCCGGAGTCTGGCTTTAATTTGGATGCATGCCTTATCTATATGTATAGTATATGCATTCCAGCATTTTATGCGTTACCGATGAATAACAGACATACTTAAAAGGTCCTTTTCCCAACAAGCTGAGACTTCGTTTGAATGTGTTGGAGTATACACTAACACATCTAGGCGAAGGTAAAAGCGTTAAACGAGTATCGAGCCAACTAACCTATGATCTTGGTTGATAGTTGATCGCGAGTTAAGCTCCGCTCCATCCATAATAGCCACGAACGAAATCCCCCGTGTGGCTTCGTCGTGCGAACGAACGGTAGTCACGACTCTGGCTACGTACCGTATAAACCGCCAAAGAGAGAATAAGAAAACTTGATAGAAGATAAAATTAAATTTAAATTCTTGAAAATAAAATATAATTAGATCCGTTCCGATTCCTTTAACAATACCCATTAGGTGTAAATTATTTTCTTACAGACCTGTTATCGCTGTTATCAAAATTAGCATTTTAAGAAACGAGCAACCGTTAAAAGCACGCAGCAACGAATGCATAAAATTAAGACCATCAAGACGTAGGCAGTAAACTAATATAATTTCTACACGCGAGCTATTTTACTTTATAAAAACATATAGGAAATAATAATAATAATCTATAATTTACTTTTCCGTATATCTTCGTATAAATAAGTATCAATAAATATCTGAATTGTCGGTATAAATGCTTAGGAAGTTAATAATAATTCAGGAATAAACTAAATTGGATAGAAAGAGAGATCGTGCATTATGATAATGCAGCGTCGAATCTTAATAGATTAAATACACGGAAGGCAAAAGTGTTATCGAATTTGTATGGAAGAGCAAAGATCGTGCTCGTAAGATCGTAGACGAGACTACCAAGATCTAGAGTCTAAGTCTAGAGTCTAGAGGAACCGTTAGAGTTAACGATGAGTTCACTTCCCTACTCTCTCTTCGCAATCTTTACGCCTCGCAGTTCCACGAGTGGACGTATCTGCGTTATCACGGTAGCGCGTGGAAATTGTTAACGAGATGAACGATTCGTTCCGAAGACAACAACAATGGGAAAACGTGATCGTACAATTCACTTTGAACTTCACTATGTTTGGTAAAATCGAGTTTCGTTTTCGAGAAGAAAACATTCCCTTCTCTCGAGTATCGTACCGTAGCAAGCCGTTATCATCCATAGAAAATCTCCGTGGAAAACACGCCAGCGGTGGTTTCTCTCGTTCTAATGCGAACTTCACGGACCGATGTATCCCTTTTTAAGATTTACGACACGAGCTGGAAACAAGTACACGATAAAACGGATAAAAAAACGCATCGTTCGTGATGTAGTTCGTTTCTTGGTCAGACTTGGAAAGAGCAAATTGTAGAGTCGAAGATAAATCTCGACAGGATTTCACACCCTCCAGCACGCCCAAACGATGGAAGGTGTAATCTTGTCGCTCTCGAGCTAAAATCTTTCCGTTCGCGAGAGAGAAACCACTATTTTTTAGAATAATTTGCATAAATAAAATTTGTAGTAAAAGTAGATGCGGTCGTATTTCAATTGCTCCGATATCACATGCCATGCATATGAAAGAAACATTCAGCTTGTTCGTAAAAATTGATTTCACTTATGAAAAAGTCATTTTATAAAAGAGTTACGAGATGAAAGTACAGGATTCTGCACGAGGTATCGTTCTGAGAATGATATACATAATTGAAGAGATCAACAATGCTCCTTTATATATAAAGTCATATATTCATGTCGTAACATAACAGAAAGCAAAATGATTCTGTAATAATCATCACAGCCAGCATATTGTATCCGTCTCGTGCCTTGTAACAAACGGAATCATGGGTGTGTTCTCGAAGCATGCTACTCAGGAACAATGTGACATTATAGTAAATGACTGGGACTATTGTCATTAAAGGAACGCTTAACTTTATTGCAAACTTATATATCCAGCATAATCCTTCCAAATCTTCTCAAATGATAAACGTTTAAAATCACAAACAAATATTTCATAAAAAATACTTCTTAACGAATGCGTTTTAAAACGGGTAAATTTTTTTTACAAAAATACTCATTGTTAACGTTGCCAAAATGAACGATAAGTTCCAAAGACAACAACACCGACAAGTGGAGAAACGTGATCGTAGACCGATTATTTAAAAACTCTAGTATCAAGGCGTTTTATAAGCTGAGTACATACTGCAGATACATGATTACAGAAACCAGGTTTCTTCCCCGTAAGAACGCGGAATAATTTGTCGTCCAGGAAAACACGCGTAATCTCAAATTTCAACTGGATGTCTAACCACATTCGCGTGTCTTCATCATCAGCCACGCATACGTGGTTACCCAGAGATCTGTATAAGTTATGTTCGATGTATACTCTAATCCTATGCATAAAAATATAGATCATAGCTAAAGAATTTTGTAATCTCATATCAATCTCTGTTTGTTGCATAATTAAAATTACAAATTGCGATACGCAAATAAAAATAAAGTTAAACAATATCACCGAGACAGATTACTAATGTAAGAGTGACAGTCTTATAGGACTGTATCGCATAAAAAAATCTGCAATTTTTTACGCCTCTAGAATATACATTTTGCTACCGGAGTAAGAAATAGAAAGTAAAACACTCATCGATGCTGAACCGACCGTATAATCTACTCGTTGAAGAGTAATTGACGATGAACGAATTAAATAATAATAGATCAGTCCTGAGGCATTCGAGATAGAAGAAAATTGTATACGATCTTTTCTATAGGCAATATCAGTGCTTACAACTTTTATTTGAAGCATTTTTCGAAATTGAGAGAAAAAGAATTTTTATTTTTTCAATATTTCGTCGTGGGGTACCTCTTCAGATTTGTCGAAATTTTCCCAAAGATTGCACAGACACTGTCCCTCCTTAGTAGTATTTCCTCGATGACAATATAAAAAGATTTTCGCGGTTATTATTTATAATATGAATTTATATAATTATATATAATTTTTTCTAAGGTCAAGTTCAATAATACGTTGATATAAAACGTAAGTGGATTGTGATATAGGA